CTCACCGTCCGCAGCCTTGCACCGGGACACGAGTTCCCACAGCACCAGCCCCATGGCGTACATGTCAATGCGCAGGAAGGCGTCTCTCTGGAAGTTGATGGCCCCCTCCAGCACCTCGGGGGCCATGTACCGCCGGGTGCCCACCTACACGAGGACAGGGCGGGGTCTTCAGTCACAGTGCACACACAGCTGCGGCTCCAGACAAGGGACGAGCCAGGTCGGGACACAGATGACGGCGATCCCCAGTCCACCACGTTCACGGGCATTGTCAAGGAGGACGTGTGCTAACCACGCCCTGGGTGTGAGCTCGTTAGGCAGCCCCAGAGAATGGGAACTGCTCCAGCCAAGACAAGGGCAGGAGACCCTCGGGGCAGCTCTACTCCGGAGCCACTGTCCATCAGAACCAACTGAGGGGTTGTCCAGGAGCCTTCCACGTCAGCACCCTTCTTTAAGCCCCACACATGGCGACAGCACTAATCTAAAATGAAACTCTTCCCCAGGTACTACAGCCACATACAGCCCACAGAGAAACATGTTTACTGAGATGTTTACTGAGAAGGGAAAGAGGAGGACCTAAAAGATCAACGGCCTTGCTTTAGGATGATTTGCTTAAGGTTAGTTCTGAGTAATGGTGTTTTTTTCCCTCCTCCCTGGATCAAGAATTTGGATTCTGCTCTGGTGGCCTAGGGGCAAGATGCTGCACTGCAATCCCAGAGGTACGTGGTTCAAATCCACCAGATGTTCTGCTGGAGAAGGAGGAGGCAATCTCCTCCTGTACCAGTCAGATCTGATTTGACGGTACACGTAAAAATAATACAATTTAAAAAAAAAAAGAAAGAAAAGAAATGTATTTAAAAAAAAAAGAAGAGGAAGTAGAGGGAATACAGGTGAAAAATACAGAGTTAGAGGAATGAAACAAACCTCTGGCTGTGCTGATTTTATGTTTTTCCACTCTTTAAAGGCATTAGAAAGTGCCCTGACTCAGAGGAGGTAAAATTCAATCACAAGGGAGATGGCATTAAACATGAGCTTAGTCTTCAAGGGGTAAATTCTGAAGAATGTTTCATAATACAAGTATTTTTATTATAAGACTCTAACAGCTGTTTTGGAGAAGCTATATTGGGAACTACTTCCAGAATCTCATCTATTGAGAGGATAGCAATTTTCTTAGAGACAAATGATAAATTTAATGAAAAGTTAGTTCGAGTTCAAATATTGGAATCAAGTTGCTATGGTGACAAAAAAGATCCCCCCTTCTCCCCCCCTTTCTGTGCAATTATGCAACAAGATTTTTCTCTTTTAAACAACAACAACAAAAAAAACCCTCCAATATACTCAGGTCAAAGGCATTTTAAGTCAACAAGGGATTTCCTTAGCTGACGAGCTGTCAAGTGTTTTTATAGTGCACAGGTCTTTATGAAATCTTATTTTTATTAAAAATGGTATGTATAGCATTTTGTCTTTTGGAATAACTCATAAAGGTGGCCAAATGAAAGACTTAAGAACAATGTTAATACTATATACTTTTTGAAAAATAAGATACATAAGATTTGCTTAAATCAAACCTCAAAGTTGATTTTAAAATTTTACTTTTACTTACTTATTGGTTCCCATAGTGTGGAAAAATATTTTCTGAAGTATAATTAATCTGAACATATGAGTAAATAAAACTGATATTATAAATAAAGAATCTAAGATACAACTTAATAGCCCCAAATATTTTTAAAAGAACAGTATTTCCTGATCTGACAAATATTGTAAACCATATTCTAAGAAAATTGAGTAAATCAGGTCACTAGGCAAGGTCAAGTCAGAAAGCCTCATTTCCTGCATTAATAGTTCTACAGTTTCTAAGCTGT